TTCCATTCCACTAATAAAAAATGTCTACAAAATAATAATTAAAACATTATATTAATAATAAGTCCGTGTATACAATATTAATTTATTTCACTTACTTATTTGCAAGAATGACTGCTGATACAGAGCTACTTTTTAAGTCAAATATTGCAGGTGTATTCCAATTTGTAACAGAATAAATGTGACATTGACCTGGAGTAATCACAATTAAATGATCAAAACCAAATGCCAATAGAACTACACGATCTGATATTTCTATAATTTCATGAACTTCATTACCAACTTCTCTAATTTCTAATACTTTCCTTTTAATTAAGGTAGCTTCATAATTATTCCATTCGAGTCTTCTATATATAATAACATTAAAAGTATCATTGTAATTATTCCAAAAATTTGCATATATTAAAATAATTTTGTATGAAGAACTTACTTGCCTATAACATGGCCAGTTAAAACATTATTTCCACAAGTTATAGCTACCTGAGTACTGTCGCTAGACCATGCTATACTGTATACACTCCCAGCATTAATTTTTTCTAAAGAATGAGACCACTGTGTAAACAAAATAAAAAGAAAATCGTCATATAATATATAATTTATTTATATAGAAAATATAATATTATTATACTAACCCCAGTTTTATCACAAAGTTTAATTATGTTAAAAGATCCAATAGCAAAATAATCGCCCGAGTTGCACCAACTAACTGCTGTAATAGGATGATCACCAGGACTACTATTATAAATTAGACTACCATTATAATCCCAAACTTTATATCGACAATCTTCTCCACCAGAAATAATGAATCCATGATTATGATTCCAGCAAACAGTCAAGACAAGGCCTTCATGAGCATGCCACTGATAATACAAATAAATGTAATGTTTATAATAGAATATAACAAATTATATTATTATATTATCAAACATGAAAACAAATATATATCTGTAACCTTATAAGGTTTAGAATTGGAATTGAGCGATTGGAAAAATAAATATCCTCCCTGTGAATATAATATTTTAGAACAGTCTGGACTCCAGTCTGATGTTAAAATAGATGTATTGCCTCTGACTATTACAGAACGAAGCATACCGCTACGTGACCAAACTTTTATTAGACCATCCTCTCCAGCTAAAATTACACACACATTAAATGATATATATAATTATATATATATATATATATATATATATATAATTACTTTATATATCATTTATTATCTTTTATATATTTATTATCTTAGTATAAATTGTTTTATTACCTGTAAGCAATACTGAACCATCTGTACTCCATTTGCCAATTGTAGCAGCACCTTTATGAGCTTCGATACTTTTTTCAATACGACCATTTTTATTAACTAAATGAAATCTTCCTATTGGATATAAAATATTACAGAATAATATATAATATTATTAATTTTTTAATATCTTAAAAATTTAAATACATACCGTCTGCTGTAGTGATCAAAAGTATATCTAACGATTGCTTTTTACTGGCTGTTATTAAATGATTAGGACGTGGATGCCATTGCATTGAAGTAGGAAAGAAATCCGATGGAAATTCTGTGATAACAGTTGAATGTGCATTTCCACTTTCTAAATACCAGCATATTAGTAAATGATCCTCTCTGGAAAAAGAAAAAAAAAAAAAAAAAAAAAAAAAAGGAATTATTACAAATGGAATTACATTTTCTTTTTTTTTTTTCTTCTTTTTCTTTTTTTTTTTTTCTTTTGATGAAGAAAAAAGAATTACCCGCAGGAAAATATTTCCTCTGCTGAACTCCAAGCTACACATGTAACTAAATTTTTGTGACCATTACTACTTTGAGCAGATATTTTAAATCTCATTGTATTGTATATGTATATATTATCAATATATTACAGTAATGATATTCAATTTACAAATATAATAATAATTCATATTATTCGAAGCATATAACGTTTGAAAATATAATAGTTTTGTAGTAATAAATGTAAAAATGCGTAAATGCGATTTGTTTTCCTTCTTGTTACCATAGTGATAATAATAATAATTATAAATTGACAAATAATTATTATACAACGTATGTATATATGTACGTACGTATAATATATAACGTAAAATTATTAAAAATATTTGTATACTTATATAATTAAAAATTTATTAAAATAACCGACAATTCAAATTCGAACAGATTCGAAATAAAATATTCGCTTTTATTGTTCTTTCTAATCTCATCTAATATTCTTTTAATTCGCCTGATTAATAAATACCTAAGAAATTTTCTATAAGAGATTTAAAATCAATAAAATTGAATCATTTTATAAAGCCAAATTTTTTTTTCAAACGTATCTTTAACAACGTTTCTATCGAACCAACGAGATTATAAACGCGGTAAGGTCACGCAAACGCAGTTTAAGATACATGAAAATAATTTCTATGATATTCAAATTAACAATTTGCAATATGAAATACGTGAAATTATAAATTATATCATGAAAACAAAAATAGGATTCTTTGTAAGATACGAATGAATTTTAATAAAAAAACAAAAAACAAAAAATACTAATATAATCGAATTAAACGATAGAAAATGACGAATAATAATTAATAACGAACGTATATCGTCGTCGTCATTGTCGTCGTGCGAATTGTCCAATTTAAAACGCGCAAGTCCATTAAAGGGAGTACGATGATTGGTCAAAAAACGTAACCTCGGCGAAATTCATATGATAAATGTTTTAAAGCGTTCGGAAAGTTCTTTATTTTATCGTTGAAAGAAACGCATTCGAATATCGGTACGATTTGCCGCGAGAAAAGAACCAATAATAGAATAGTATTAGAGTTGAAATTATAAAGATATACGGTTTACATAGAAATGCGACATTAGGTTCGGTAAAGGAGAGAGAGAGAGGGATATAAGCAGCAAGTACCCGATGCCTTTTTTAACGCGAGCATGTGAACGGATCTCGAGAGAGCCGAGACTTTTCAACGCGGAGCATCCTCCTAAGAATATATAAGTTATCTTGAGGAAGGACAATTTCGGAATAGTAATATTATATTATAGATGTTGGGATAATTGGATATAACGCCGTAAACACGTGGGGTTATTCGATATAACGCGAGTGGTCCTATATCTTCATCGGCTTACGTTGTTTTTATATACCCGTCGGGTCTATCGCGGTTTCGGTCGCGCCTGGCCTGGCCCGTGGCCTGCCTTGTCTTTGCTGCCGCGAATGTGGATAATCGACAACGTTTTATCGTTCTGCTGTTGCTGTTTCTGCTGCTGCTATTGCTATTGTAGCTGTTACTATCAACTAGTATTACTACTACTACTACTGCTACTACTACTACTACTACTACTACTACTACTACTATTACCACTGCTATTACATTTACTACGACGAAAAGTACGACAACTACTGCCGCTGCCGCTGCTGTTGCTGTTACTCCTGCTCCTGCTTCTGCCATCGTCGTCTTCGTTGTCGCCGTTGCCGTTGCCGTTGCCGTTGCCATCGCCGTTGTCGTTGTCGTCGTTGTCATTGTCGTCGTTGTCGTTGTCGTTGTCGTCGTCGTCGTCGTCGTCGTCGACGTCGTCGTCGTATAGTAGTCGTCGCGAAGTTTTGCATACCCGCCACCATCATCGTACGAATAATACGTCTATCAATTTCGAAGGACTTTAAAACGCCCGTGGGAAATTAGCTCGTTTTAAAAGTAAAAGAGAAAAAAAAAATATATATATATACACACACAGACACACATATAAATACACACATACATACATACATATATATATATATATTGAAAAAAAAAAAAAAAAAAAGAAAAGAGAGAAAAAAAAAAAGGAAAATATTATATTAATACGTGGGGGGAGGAATCCTTGTGCTCTTTATCGCAAACCTGACGATACAGGCTCTTAAAGTACTACATCGTGATTGTCACTTGATAGCATCCGAGGCGCCAAACTTGTCCGCATCGGCGCTTTCTCCAGACCAAGTAGTATCAATGTTGTCTGGCAATGGTGTGTAAGGAGAACGTGGTATCATGGTTTGGGAATCTGTCCAGGTAAATTTTACGTTATTATTTGCACGCGGATTTATACTATAAAGCTACCGATGTCTTCCTTCTGTCTCTTTCTTTCTTTCTTTCTTTCTTTCTCTTTTTCTGTCTCTCTCTCTCTCTTTCTCTTTCTCTCTTTCTCTCTTTCTCTCTCCTCCCATCCCTCTCCCTTTCCTCCCCATCATCCCATGTCGTCCCCCCCCTTTCCTTCTCTATATCTATCTCTTTCTATCTTTCTGTCTATCTATTCTTCTCTCTTTCTATCTTTCTGTCTCTCTTTCTCTTGCCATTTCTCTTCTCCGCCTCTATCCTTCTTTATTCTCTATCTCTCTCTCTCTCTCTCTCTCTCTCTCTCTTGCTCTCTCTCCCTCTCTCTCTCTCGCTCTTGCTCTTGCTCTCTTTCTCTGTCTGTCTCTCTGTCTTTCTCTTTCTCCCTCCTTCCCTCTCTTTCTCCCCTCCCTTTTTCTTCCTTCTCACAACGCGTCCTCCTATGTTGCGTTGACTGACGTTTTACGATTTATACTTTTATATATTTTCTCATTTTTATATATATGTATATGTGTATATATATATATATATACATACATATATTTATGCATGTATGTATGTATGATGTATGTATATACGCACATACGTATACACATCTTTCTTATTTCTTAAGTTTCTAACTCTCTTTCTTTCGATATTTCGAGATAATCAAGATTTTCCCCGTTTATCTTGCATTTTATATCGTTCGAATTCGAAAAGCTGTCATGGTTTTTTTTCTTCTTTTCTTTTTTGTTTTTTTTTAATCTTCCTTCCTCCTCCTCCTCCTCCTTCTTCTTCTCCTCTACCCTTCCCTCTCCCATCTCCTCTCCCTCCCCATTCCCTCCCCTGACTCTGCGAATTTATCTTTTTCTTTTTCTTTTGCTTTTTTAACTTCTTCTTACGATTGAGATAATTTTTCATTCTATGCTTTTTCGTTTGCTTTAATATGTATGTATATATATATGTATGTATGTATATACATATATATATATATATATATATATATATATGTATATATATTTAAAATTTTATTACTTACGTTAACGATAAATTTTCTTGACTTATAATTTACGAGTAGTTATAGATAAAGATAAGGAAATTGTTTATATATATATATATATATATATATATATATATACACACACGCGTATAATAAATTTTTGTATAATAATAGATATTACTCGAATTTTTTTTTTCTTTTTTTTTCTTTTTTTTTTTTTTGGGTGAGATAATCGACCAAAGTAATATTTAATTATTATTTTCTTTTAAATCTGACGACATTTCGAGAATATCATGGATTCGCTTGAATTATCTCATTAAACGAATATATCTTTTTTATGATGGAACATTATGTTTAATATGTCATATACATGTATACCTATGAGGTATACGTGATTGCGCGCGCGGGCGCATTCTCGTCAGGCACGTATGAATGCATTTAAAAACATACAGACATTAACCATTTTCTTTTTCATATAATATTTATCTTTGATCCTTAATGATACTTTTTTTTTATATTTTACTCGTTGTTACATTCTCTAACGTCACTGTTCTTATTATTTTTTCTTTTTCTTTTTGTTTTTTCTTTTTTTTTATTTTCATGGCTTTTGTACTTTTCGTGCTTTTGATAAATTTGATAGTTAATGGCAACCTGTTATGCAAGAGAAGCATATGCTTTTTTATTTTTCTTTCTTAATTTTTCTTTCTTTTTAACTTATTTTTCTTTATTATTATTATTAATATTATTATCTTTTTAACTTATTCTTCATAAATACACAAATTTCTTTGATTAGATCAATAACGAATTTACTTTGATCGTGTAAAATAATTAATTGATTAAATCTTAAAATATACTTTGCTAATTATAGATACGTTTATTATTGTATGTAATACTCGATGACTTTAGCAATAATAATTATGTTATTTATATATATGTATGCAAATTTATATAGACTTACATATATATATATATATATATATATATATATATATATATATATATATATTACATATTAAGTTTTATTATTGTCAATAAGATCATTAATGCTCTTAATAATATGTCAATTTAACACATATGTTTATGTCTGTGCAGTTATAAACGTATAGATGTCATGTGCACGTTGCTAAATATGTGCTTGCCATTTGAAGTACGATACCTTGGCACGTGTGTCGAGGATATTGGAAAGCGAGATTACAATGATCTACGCGATACAGAGCATCATGCAAACAACGTCTCAGATCTCTCAGAGCTGACAAACCTTGGTGTCACAGACAAGCGCACAAGAAGAAAACTTGCTCTCTATATGGCACTGCTACATTCTTGCAATTATGCATGCGCAGTGATCTTATACAAGAACTTGTCAAACTTTGATTATCAAGAGATCTCCAATCTTCTCAATGGGACCACTTTTACACCAGATGATCAACCTCTGGAAGAATTACTCTTATTATATACAATGGCGTTAAATCATCCAGCCTTTACATATGAACAGAAGAGTGTCTTTGGTAACATTTACATTAAACTTCAGGAGGAAGAGACACGATTTAATCTTTCAAAGTCTATCACTTCTGCTAAACCTGTACAAGTAATATCCAATGTCTATGTCTTTCTTATTGCGTATTAGTTCTTTTTTTTTTTTTTTTTTCTTTTTTTTTTCTTTTTCTTTTTTTGCAAGTTATAACTGCTAATGAATAATCACTTGTTTGCAATATTATTTATATTATGCTTTATGATAGCCTATTTATTTTATATAGTTGTTAAACATTTTGATACTACTTTACGATCATTACGAGCAAATCTATAGGATAGAATTAAACAGGTGGCTATTCATTCATATTTATAAAATATTATTAAATTAACACTTATTATAAAAATCATAGTAAAGAATTGCTTGTAGTATATGTATTGCGTATTATTGCATAGATTAATTTATTTACAGGGCTGTACACCATGCATTAATACAAATGATAGATTAGTGGATCCTGAAATGCAAAGTAGTTGTTTGATGCCGCCACCTCAAATGCAAACTTATCATGGTATGTTAGTTTACAGAAAAAAGAGAAACACGTTATTATTTTTAAATTAAATAATATTATATAAGATATAAATATATTAATCTTTCATTATATTCATTTGCAGGAGATATGTCAATGAGAAATAATCCAATGATGAGTGGAGTACCACCTGGTATTTCTATGCCTCCACCTGGCTTATGTTTGCCTACACCAGAACAAATGTCAATGGGTTCTGGAGGCGCTACGCAATATCTTCATCTTGGCTTTCCATCGGTTAATCATTTACCACCATGGACAGGTCAGGTTGTGATGGGAAATCAACTGATGTATCATACCAGTGACATGTTGGCTTATCCACCTTCCCCTTTAGTCAGTCGCCAATCCTCGCCATCCCAATCTCGATCTCCTAGTCGTAGTAATTCTCCAATGGGTCGAAGAAATAATGCAATGCCTCGTACATCTTCACAAGTCACTCAGTCAACTTCGAATACGTTAACATCAACGAGTGCCTGTAACAGTCAGATGAGTATATCTAGTTCCAATGCCAGTTCCTTCCCTCTATTTCCTGCACTTGGCACTAGCAGAAGTCTTCCAGCACAATCACCCTTACTTCCATCGAGATCTCTTCCTTTACCTATTACCAGCACTACAACCTTCTCTAGACATAACAGTATAGACAACAATCCTTGCACATTAATCCCAGCGACACAATCAAAGCAACCACCACCACCTCCACCACGATTAAGATCTTCAACCTCTGGAGATTCTTTAAGGGAGGCATTGGGCAAAGAAATGCCGAACTTCAAAGGAAACCTACAAGATATTTCTCTTGATCAGGTGAGCTCAAATATTATTTTATAATTATTTCATAATTTCTATAACTGATATTTATCTTTATCATTTATTTACTAATATATAGATGCGGAGAATGAGTGACGAAGATTTAAGGGAAATTGGATTAACTCCAAATGCTGTAGGACAATTAAGAAGTATAATTAAAAGTCAAACCACTAATGGATTGAATCAAATTACTGCAGATAAGAAGCTAGACAATACTAATAATTCAGGAAACACGATGGGTGATTCTATGGAAAATGAGGTTTGTGTAAAAAAAAAAAAAATTAATAGAATATACACGTGGTATAATATAATATATTTCTAATAAAATTCTAATAAATAAAATGTTATTTTGTTCATAGGGTATGCCAGGTGTTGATATTTTAAATGATGGCGGAAATCAAGGTCCCAAATCCATGTTGATGCAGGAACAACATCCAGCGATGCATCATCATCATAATCACGCTGCTACTCATAATTTAAGACGTTATCCCACTATGCCGCCATTGGATCCTACGCAAATTCAAATGTATCCTGCCCCTGCTCCAGTATACACAGCTCAAAATGCACCGTGTTATGCCTGTCTCACTGTACCTGTTGCTGGTGTGCAAAATCGATATTCAAGGTAATATCAAGAAACAATAGTAATACGTATGCTTTAATATTTATAAGACAAGGAACATATCTTTTCATTGTTTTTTCTTTTTTTTTTTTATTTTTATTTTATTTCTATTTTCATTATTTTCTTTTTTTTTTTTTTTTTTTTAGATGCAACGCCCAACACGTTTATTGTTTAGCCCAGCTGCAAGCTTTGAGATTGGACCATGAAAGCAGTCGGCATTGTTCACAGAGCAGTAGCTCCGATAGTTCCGGTAGTAGATCACCACCTGAAACACCTCCAGCAGCTCCATGGGTCGGAGGAAATGATAGTAATACGGCACCAGTTACAGATCATCTCGGTTCTGTTCCTATGCATTCTACAGGTGCTACATCTCATCCGACACCTCAACAACAACAGCAGCAACAACAACAACAACAACAACAACAACAACAACAGCAGCAGCAGCAACAGCAGCAACAACAACAACAACAACAGCAACAGATGCAACCGCCAGAAAGACAACGCAGTAGGAAGAATCAGGGACATCAAATGCGTCATAAAAATCAAATGGTGAACGGTGGTGGACCGCCAAGTTTACCTCATTGCGTCTCATTTCCAACACCACCTCCGCATTCACAAGTCACGTATCTACCCCATGGACACTTCTCTGCCTTGAGGCCAAGTAGTGGTATCTACTCTAACTACTCGCATGGTCCTTATGCAAGGCCAGCTTACCCAAGCACATACCAGCCAAATAGCGAATTGATGTATCAGTATCCTGGACATCCAGCTTCAGGTGGAACCCCACCACCTCCACCCAATGCTGCGGGAACACCTGCACCGTATATGCCACCGACGCCCGTTGTCACATACGCACCAGCTGCTGTTCAACCAACTAAAGTATCCTGCTATAATTGTGGTAGCAGTAATCATATGGCGATAGATTGTAAAGATCAGACTATGGAGGACCTTACAAAGAAAGGTATGATTGTATTTCTATCAGTTCTACATAATTTATTATTATTACAGGTAATTGTAATTAAGATTTTTTAATATATGTATGTGTGTGTTTCTGTGTGTCTCTATGTGTGTGTGTGTGTGTGTGTGTGTGTGTGTGTGTGTGGTAATCGTAAAGTATTATATAGATGTAAATTTATTATGTTTTAGCCCAATATCGATTAGATTATACGATAATGAAACAGCCAGGGGATTGTTCGAATTCTGACAAGTGATCCCCTGCCATGGACCATCCTACTATATTTCATCTTAATCATCAATTATACCATAGCGAATATCGGAGACGTCATTATTACCATCATTGCCATTATTACAATGATCCTGCTTCTACGAGCCAGCATAAGGATCGATTAAATGATGATTGCTGCAACTATTCTCCATTCAAGTTTTCAGTGATTTTTCTAGACATCCTCTGTATCGAAGCCGACGAATTTTTAACCAAGGACATTTCGCGATTCACGGTACCAGGTATACTCTTTACAAGTTCTTATTTATGATAGTGATTATTCTTAAGAAAAAAAAAAAAAATAATAAAAATACAAAAAAACAAAAATACAAAAAAACAAAACAAACAAATAAATGTGCGATTGTAAAAAAAAAAAAAAAAAAAAAAAAAAGGGAAAAAAACGTATGTAGAGCGTGTACAAAAGGAAAGGAAATGAAAAAGGAAAAAAAAGAAGCATAATGCAAAAAATGCCATATTCTTATCTGTGTTGTTATAGGATACGTTTTCAGATGTTTTGTGTTAGGTATTGAGTCGAGTATTTCCAGCCGTACCTATCAGCTACTTATACCCTTAACTTACCTATCTCTCCTCCCTTTTTCTCTAGTGACTAGTGATAAGCGATACGCAATGGAAAGGACACAAAAAAAATGCATTGTACTCTGATTAGGTAAAACTATCACGTTTGACTCTATTTACTCTATCGATTCTTTTACTTCTATTATCTATATCTACTATTACTATTATTACTATTACTACTATTACTACTATTAACACATTAAAATTATTCTTATTATTGTCATTATTATTATTATTATTATTATTATTATTATTATTAATATTATGATTATTATGATTATTATAATTATTATAGTTATTATTATTATTATTATTATTATTATTATTATTATTATTATTATTATTATTATTACTATTATTATTATCATTATCATTATTATTATTATATTATTATTATGATCATTATTATCATTATCATTATTATTATTATATTATTATTATGATCATTATGATTATTATCATTATTATATGTCTTATCGTTCTATCGCGTTGGGATAGTTTTATGTAAATATATATATATATATATATATATATTTATATATATATATATATATTTTCACAATTCTTACGTGTAAATATATTACGTGAGAAAGTGAAATAAGAAAGAAAGTCGAAAAAGAGAACGAGAGAAAGGAAGAGAGAATGAGAGGATAAGTGTGTAAAAGAAACCATAAGTGTTCGATCGTCTAGCTGCTGTTGCGCTCCTGTGTGTAAAAGTAGGGACATATACATATATATATATATATACTATTCACTCTCTACTCATTTATTAACTTATAGATAAATAGATATATAGATAGATAGTTAGGTAGGTAACGGTAACTCTCTCATCCTACTTATATAGTCATATAATCACACGTGCAACTTAAGTAATTTTATACGACTTTTATTGATCGCTCATGTTTTTTAAATATAAGCGCAGTGTAGTTACACACACATACACACACATACACATACATATATATATATATTTAGAATTTTCTTAGTCGATAAATATTACAATAAATAAATATATATATATATGTATGTATGTATGTATGTGTATACATACACACATATATATATATAAAGATAGATATGTGCTAGTTATTAGGCATGAGTGGAATGGCAATATACATTATAGCTGTGTTGTTAATAAGTTACTATTTGCATTTAAACAAACTCAATCTTTTACATGGATTATCATTATCATTATCATTCATCATTGTCATTATTAACAAATGCCAATTATAGCTGTGGTAACATGCACAATTTGGCGAAAGATATTATTTGCCAATGTTTATGTCCTTTCTATATAATATCTTTAATATTTCTTTCCGCGTTTTAATAATAAATAATATAGAACACATTATAACGATTCGTATGCGTTAAAAAGAAGAAATCATTTTTGCAAAAGGAAGAATAATACAATGTATTAGAAAGATTTAACAATCATGGCACGCACTATTATAAGACCATGTGCATTTACAATTTCTTTCTTTCTTTCTTTTTATATATATATATATATATATATATATATATATATATATATATATATAAAACATTTGTCCAGATTTTCCGGCTAAATTTACAAATTTTCTGTTCTTTTTTTTGTTTTTTTTTTTCCTTATTATTATTATTATTTATTTTCCTTTCTTGGAGCTTAAATTTTGGCAGCTAGTCAAACTACAAGGAAAAAGTTTGCCAATTCTTGGACGTTAGACTTTATCATGTAGTTTTTATCGGTAAACTTGATATATTATCTTCTTTAATAGAAAAGAAAACAAAATGGATAAATATTATTTTCGATTTTTAAAAATAATCCTTCTCTTATTATTTTTTTATGTTTATTATATACCTTCCACTTTTGCTTTTTCACTTACTGATAAAGGAAAAAAGAAGGAAAAGAAAAAAAAGAAAAACCAGAAAAAGAATGATTTGTCTCAATAACTTCGATTAGAAAAAACTGAATAATAAGACAATGCAAAATAAACGTTGAATTTTATCAATTGTAATATTTACAATATAGAAAATGCGACGATGTGTTATGATCTATTGTACTTTCTTTCATTTTTTTTTAATTATTTTAATTTTTTTTTTTTTAATTTATTTTATTTGAATAATGGATATAATTTAGTAAAAAAAAAAAAAAAATCATTTCACTTTATGCAAAATTAAATTGATGATTGATTTCTTATGCCAAAAACAAAAGTACAAAAGGTAGAAAAAATTGTAAAATAATGAATGCACTGTGACATACTAATTCATTGTAAAAAAAAATTTATAATGATTTGTTTAATTTAATTGACTTTATTCTATTATACATATATGTATATATATATATATATATATATATATATATATATATATATATATATATATATGTATATATATATATGATACAGGAACAACTTTTTAATATATAGTTCGCATTATATGATAAAAAAAAAAAAGACTATAATACAATATATATATATATATATATAATATCATGATCATAACACAATCGTATTTTTTCTAAATCATTGTAATTATATGTAATGAGTTATTATCTTTATTAATTGTTATTAATTGTAAATTTCTTTTTGGTGTTATTTTTTTGTTTCTTCCTTCTTTTTTTCTTTTTTGTTCTTTGAATGATCTTACGATAATAAGATCAAAAAATCGAGCACATTTGAATTTTGAGAAATGTATCATTTTTTTTACGAACATTTATTTGTCATTAGTACGAATACAGTTTTATCAATGGCAACAAATATAAGACAACGGTATATTTTTTTTTTTTTTTCATTAAAGCTGTCTAACGAGTATAAATACATAGCATAAATATTTATATTAATTATATTTATATCAATCATGGTGTAATAGCAAAAAGACAAAAAAAAAAGGAAAATGCTGCATATTTGTAAAATTCATATTTTTAAATTGTATTTGAAATAATCGAACAAAAAACACACTGACACATACATATACACACACACACACATACACACAATTAGGAGAATGGAAATGAATTTTGTGTTTCGTTTTTATAAAACGTTGTTTGAATATTTTCATATTTATTGATATGAGAATAAAATAAAATATAATATTCTTTCAAAAGAAGAGAAAGATAGATAGATAGAGATAGATAGAGAGAGAGAGAGAGAGAGAGAGAGAGAGAGAGAGAGAGAGAGAGAGAGAGAGAGAGAGAGAGAGAGAGAGAGAGAGAGTGAGAGAGAGAAAGGAAAGAAAAAAAATTTTGAATTGTAAAATACATTATCGCAAATATGATTAAAAAAAAAAAAAGTATTACGATGAAAAGGAATTATAATTAATTAATCATGATGTTTAAATATTAAAGTGCCATATATTTGACGATTTGTCTTCGTGCAAACAAATAACATTGGGGATCTTCTTCGAAAAGATATCAATTTACATTGATTTTTAATTATCCATCAATTATTCATAGAATTTTATGTATGAAATAATTAATATATAAATATCGTGGGAAAAAAAAAAAGAAGAAAACGAGAGCTTAAAATAGAAAAAAAACTGGTCGAGAATAATTAATCAGGACCAAAAGAAAATGTGACCTTTCGTATATTGCTACGCGTTTATGAGATTTATTTATTCGATTATTTATTATTTATCTTTTTTTATTTTTTTAATATCCCCCTCTTCTTAAATAATTTCTATAAGCACATATATTATTATGAAGAAAAGTAAGAAATGAAAAAGAAAAGAAAAAGATGATGCATAGGGCTCCTATTCTTGACACTTTATATATATATATATATATATATATATATATATATATATATATATATATATATATATCTGATTGTATCGTATTATAAATTTAACAATGATTGACTACATAAGAGAAGAGCTGAATGTATGCATTTTGTAAATTAATGGCAGATTATCTATTAACACACAGACTATTTTCATATTGAGTAATAATATTTCTGAAAAAGCAATAGTAATTAATAGAAACGCAGTGTACTTTATTGCTGTTTATTAAAAACATTGAAATATCAAAGACCTAGTCAGATTATAAAGGTTTAATAATAATAATAATAATGATAATAATAATAATAATAATAATAATAATAATAATAATAGTAATAGTAATAATAATAATAATTAATAATAATAACTAATAATAATAATAATTAATAATAACTAATAATAATAATAATAATAATAATAATAATGATAATGATAATGATAATAATAATAATAATGATAATGATAATAATAATAATAATAATATCATAACGATATTTTAATGATTACGATATTATTACTTATATGTTTACGATTAATTATATGTGTATAAAATTAAATTAAATTAAAATAAAATATAAAATATGTGAAAGATAAATACTTATTATTAATGATTAAGCAATATTACGTAATTTTAATGCCGAATTGCATTTTTACAGCTCTGTATAAATATAATAATAATATTTTATGATAAACAGCAATAAGGGTGATATGCGCCTTCTTTTTTTTTTTCTTTGTTTACCGTTCATGGAAAAAAAAGGAAAAAAGAACAACAATTATTATAAGTAAGATAAACGAAAATTCAAATCAGTAGAAAATATGAGAGAAAGGAGAGAAAATATACTATCAGAGATTTCACTTGATTGTTAAATAATAATGTTGTAATTCTATTATCAAAGTTTATATAACTTTTTGT